GTGATAGATTCTCCCAATTACCGAGTCTAGAGAAGAAGAGACGTATCACCGATACGTTTATACATTAGATACCGAACGTGAATCGTGATCACGCAGGGAGCTTAATCACGATCAGGATGGCGAATTAGGTTAAACAAACAGAGGTTAATGATTGGTCACTGTTTTTACGGAAACAAACAGAGGTTAATGATTGATCACTGTTTGTACGGTAGCACAAACAGAGGTTAATGATTGGTCACTGTTTGTACGTTTGCACCTCCCAATCCTGGCGTGCAGGCATGCGATGACGTGTTAAGCTATGACGTGTCCCACAATACTCCCCCTCTAGAGCGTTTGTAGGAACCTAAAGGGAGAAAGAAAACGCTCGACACATCGAGTGTACATAGTCGGCCAGTAGGGAGGGGAAGGTAACTTTTGGGCCGTAGCGAGTGTAATAGGGTTCAGGTTGATGAGGCACAGAAGGGGAACTGCAGAGACCGAAGTATCTTCGGGTAGGGACTGAAGTGGTGGGGGGGGGGGGGGGGGGGGAACGAGGTTGGTATAGGCTCTTCGGTTATTGGAGTTGTAGGATCGGACGGGTGAATCCTAACCGCGGGATTTGGTATAGGGTGCTCCAGGTAAGCCTGTTTTAAACGGTCGATACTGACGGAGTCTTTGGTGCCGTTGCGGTCAAGAATGAAATATTTAGATTTGCGTTTGAGGACTTTATAAGGTCCTTCGTACGGTGGTTGTAGGGTTTTTTAACTGAATCAACTCGAACGAGAACGAAGGGACTTGTAGATAAATCGTTATGTATATACACTGGCGTAGTATTCGAACGGGTTGGTGTTGGACGGACGGCTCTGAAATGGTCTTTAAATCGGGTGGAATGGGATAATGGGTCTACGGCAGTATGTTTATGGGAGTCCAAAATCATTTCTCCCGGTAGCCTTAACGTAGTACCAAATACTAGTTCCGCCGGGCAGCATCTAAGGTCTTCCTGCACAGTACTCCTAATAGACAGGAGGATGATGAGAAGACGGTCCACCCAATTTGAATTGGCAGAAGTGGCAATGAAGGCTGATTTAAGTTGCCTGTGAAAACGTTCGACGATACCATTGGCTTCTGGATGATATGCTGTGGTACGGATGTGGGTCGAGCCTAACAATCGGTTTAATTCCGGGAACAACGTAGAAGTGAATTGGGATCCCCTGTCGATAGTTATTATGGCGGGAACTCCGAAAATGGATATCCATGAATCGCCACCATCGTAGCCGAAGTGTCGCGTAAGGGGACTGCGATTGGCCAACGTGTGAAACGGTCGATACAGGTTAGGATATGTGTATAGGAATTCGAAGGTGGCAATATCGACATGTATGTGGTGAAAACGGGCTTCGGAAGGGGGAAAGCGGAGAGCGGGCTGCGGGAATGTTTGTGGACCTTGATGGCCTGACAAGTGAGGCAATGTTTGGCCCAATGACGGACGTCCTGCCGGATGATCTTTCAAACAAAACGGTCAGTGATCAACTTCGTTGTGAAACGAATGCTCGGATGCGACAGACCGTGGAAATGTTCAAAAATCTTCCGGCGATATGCTTGCGGAACAAATGGTCTCGGCTTGCCGGTTGAAACGTCGAAATGGATCCGTGTATCGGAGTCTGGTAGAGGTAAATATTTGAATCGTAACGAAGGGTCGGATGCAATTTCGGTGAAATCTGGATCCGACTTTTGTTCAGTGGCCAGAATTTGCAAATCGAGAGAGGGCGCCCCTATTTGATTCAACTCCATGCAAGACATTGCATCAGCAACCACGTTACTCGCATCGTCGATTTGGCGAATATCATTTGTGAATTGTTAGACGAAATCCAAATGACGAGTTTCGCTGGGGGAGTGGTGATCTGAGTTGGCCCGGAAAGCATAAATTAGGGGCTTGTGGTCGGTACATATTGTAAACTGACGGCCTTTCAATATATGACGAAAGTGTTTGACTGCCAGGTAGATGGCG